AACTGGCTATTCTGAGGGCGAGTTCCTCCTGTTTGTTCCCCATACTACGAGCATTGGTATTTAGACATTTAAGGCCCTGCCTAGCTGCATGTGCCACCCCCCAGTTTGGGAGACTGTCTGGAACCCTGTTTCTTATCTGGGCACTCCTTGCATTTGTCACCTGTCTTGCTCAGGTGGTGTCTCCACGTCTTCTTGTGGTCCCCTCCCCTGGCGAGGCTAGTTTAAAGCTCGCCATACGAGATCAGCCAACCTGGAAGAGAAGACACGCTTGCCTTTAGGAGAGAGGTGAAGCCCATCCCGCCCCAGCAAGTCCCTTGCCCGAAAGCATGGGTCATTATCTAGGAACCCAAGGCCTGCCTGGCAGCACCAACTGCATAAGTGCTGGTTGACCTCGCCAATGCAGGCCTCATGTTGCCGTCCCCGCCTACTCACCGCAAGAAGAGAGGAGAATACGACCTGTGCCCCCGTCTCTGTAAGCTTGCCCCCCAGAGCCTCAAATTCCTTCATAATGCAGTCAGGGTTGTCCCTGGCTGCGTCATTCATTCCCACGCGTCATTCATTCCCCATTCCATGGGGTAGTGGTCTGCAGGTGTGATGTAGGCCAGGATCCTCTCGGTGATGTCCCTAACCCGAGCCCCAGGAATGAACCAGACTCTTGCACCATGGGGTTAGGCTGGCAGAATGGGACCTTCCAGGCCTCGTAGGATGGAGTCTCCTATGATGAGGACCCGGTGTTTCTTCCTGCTGGTGTTTGCTCTCTGCCCATTCCTTGTCATGTGGGGAGTGGCATCGTCCCTGCCGGAGGCAATTTCTCTGTCTTTCTCCGTCGCAGCTGCCAGGGCATCAAACCTGTTGCCCAGGTGAACCTGGGGAGCTTCCATCACTCTAGGCCTAGCAGCTCTGGATTTGGACACCTTCTGCCACGCCTGCGTTGGATGCGTCTCCTCTGGGGGCTGTACAGTGGGCGACCGGGCCTGCAGAGAACAGAGATAGGCATCAATTCTCTCTCATATGCATATTTAAAAACACTTCTAGGTTGTCATTGGTATTCCACAATAAGAGAGAGAATAATCTGCATGAAGTATATTATAAATGATAATTATATGCGTTAGATATAAAAGAAAAAAAATCCAGTGCTTACATTACTATTCTACAATTGACCAGTAGAAATGTATGTTGCCCGATTGCTCAAACAAACTTCCATAATCGAACAGCAAGTTTTTCCACCTTCCTTGTTTTAAATACATTGCTCATTTAACATGTTAAGCAAACATATTAGCAGTGTTAAAAATAGAAATCTGCAAAATTTATCATTTAATGATAGAACATATTGTTATTCAGCCTTAGAGGACTGGGAGGAGCTTGGCTGATTGTAGATAATGTTATTTTGAAAAACTGAAAAAAAAAGTGAGGAATTTTATTTGTCAATCAGTCCCCATCTAAACACTTCAATTTTGCTGTTGGCAAAAAGTGAGCATATGAAAAAATATGTAATATCGCAAAAATAACTCTAGACTCCGAGGTGTGGAACGCACTAAACAAACTTGCCTGGCTGTTCTTAGAGAGGTCTTGCAGTGACCACTCATGGTTGAAGCGGAGGTTGCTGATGTGGTTGTCAGATATGTACCCATAGGGCGGCTGTCCACTGGCTGTGTTTTATAAATGGGCATGTTCAGTAATTTAAAACTAGGATCATGCTTTGAACAGAAAGATGAGAATGTATTAAATCAGATCTCCTATTTTTATTTCATTTTAGCGTCCTTTGTCTCTGGGGGCAGATATTTGTATGTATTCAGCAACCAAATACATGAATGGTAAGCATCTGATAATAGCTCAAACATTCTCTTGATTTTGTTAAAAACAATTAAAATCACCATAAAATACTGCTAATTCATTGAATCTCCCCTTCTGTATTCTCACCCTTCATTTACAACATCTATGGTCTTCAGCTAGCAGTCCAGTTATGCATTACTGGGCTCCACTTCCACTCTCTCCACCTTTTCCCTGAACACACTTCTCACACGAGCTGACCCCCACAACCCCCATGCTGGGAGTGCCCCTTTCCAGCTGATTCACTAGAGTAAGTGTATTAACTAAGGATTCGGATTGGTTGCTAGTTGAGACCGCACTAGGAAAGCTTCTCACCATCTCTCAGCTATGAGGGGGTATTATTGGAAGTGAAGGGATATTTCTATTGGGAGGGCAATACTGTATAGTGATTGCCATACCACTGATTGTTCTGAGCTGTCAGGTGATGGACTTAGTTTAATTAATGAGTTAGTTCTTCGTTAGTCAAGCTGTCCCTGTTTGTGAAAAAAGCTGTGAGACAACCCCTGAAAGCAATTTTATCTACTTCAGAGGTGGTTCGGTGAATCGGGGCCAAATTTTATCATGATTTCAAATGCCTACCTGTCAAGTGAACAGCCTGTTTGTTTCTCACAATGTCAAGTACACAGCCTGCTCATTTCTCACACTGTATACCACCTGCTTGTTTGTATACAGGTGCCACATTGCAGTGTGCTTTAGGTTTCTGCACTGAGCTTTCCTTTCTGTTCTTATGTCTATGCCTTCAGAGAAACTCCAAACTTTTTTATTTTTGATTGGAGATAATGATTAGAGTTCCAGGATGAATCGGAAGATTAGGTCTGTACTTCCCTAGAAGGTCCTTCAGCCTGTCATTCAATTATATACAAGGTCATGGAGTCTGACTCATTACAACTTTCCATAAATACATGCTTTTGAAAAAGAAATAAAAAAAAAAAATAATCAGTAAGTCTTGAAATAAATAAAAGACATGACATGTCTAAAATTAAATTAGAGGTGTGATTGCAGCAAAGGAAGCATGCTCACATTAAATTTAAAATGGCTAATTTAGGTAAGAATGCAGTGAAGATGCATTAAGAAGGTTTGACATAGACTAACTGCACAAGTGAGTATTAAAGGTGTGCGCTGAACTACATGTCCCAGGCTGAAGTTTGTGCTGCCATGTCTCTTCTGCATTGTTACCTCCAGTAGCCAGATAAAAGCTAATGTAGATATGTCTATCCATGCTGCAGATGTACTTCATAATTAGCATGCAGCTATAGCCAAAAATAAACAGTGTTAGTGAGGAAATATAGTGCATCAGCAGCATGTCTTATTCTGTCTGTTTCATGGCAGCACATCTGGCTGCTATGTGGACACAACAGGTCTGATACCCAAATTCCTGCTTTTTTAGAAAGTGGACAGCTAGGGTGTCAAGCTGGTAGTGAGGTGCATGTTGGCCCATTGTATGATACGGCCCTGCCAGGTAAATGAATGCATACAAAGGAAATATGTAATTACAGGACTAACAATATAAAACAACAAAAATCTTGAACTTAACCATTTTGTGCCTTTCTTGTTTCTCTAGGGCACAGTGATGTTGTAATGGGACTGGTTTCAGTGAATTGTGACAAGCTGTATGAAAAGCTCAAATTCTTACAAAATGGTAAGTTGTCAACATAAAATACTTTAAATGTATTGGATCCAAACAGCAACTATGCTTTATATTCACACGCAGTAAGTCACTGTTTAGGCTATGCACATTAGCCTTCCCACTTTCTAGTAACAGGGCTAGGGATTTAAAGGGGTGCCAGTGTACCCTGGTGGAGAGTACTGAACTGTTGCCAGTTTTGGGGGACAGACCTCTGGGGAAACCCCACTTGATACTTCCTCCCAACTAAATACTGAGCGATTGATGACAACTGGTTGAGTATGTTGGTCTAATTTAGTTATGTATCCCCCCTACAGTACTTTTGTTTAGTCTATATCTCTTTAGTTTGTTCATGAGAATGTTGTGATATACCTTGACTTCAGCAAAGCTTTCGACACTGTCTAACACAGTCACTGCTCTCCCCCACTAAATCCAGTATTTATTTTGAGGATAAACTGACAGTCTTGTCCAAAACTGTCAAACCAGCACCTTGCTAAGTTCACTGAAATGATTATCTCCCCATTTTACATCCTGCAAAATCTGCCTTGACTTTCAGTAAGGAAGCATGAGATTCATAAACTGCTGTGTGTACCTTATGCCCACTTAAAATAGTTTTCTTTACGTCAGGGCCAAAACATTCATCAAGGCAACTAAAGTATGGTGACTTTTTTTAACTGAAAAGTTTTCAGTTTTAGTAGCTGGACTGTAACAGGGCACTATCCCCAGGGACATCGAGACCCCCTGGAGGTGCCCCAGAACCCCTTTATTTCAATCCACTTTGGGAACAGTCTCCCCTTCACTCGCCTGCTACATCTTCATGTTTCTTTTGATTCTCAAAGGGGAGGCCACCCCAGGGCTTCCCTGATCACATCTTGGCTCCAGAGAACATCCAGAGGTGAGGAGCTCCTACCTTAAGGGCTAATTGCATGGCTCCATACCATGCCCTATGCCTAGCAGGTATTACACAGCTTGTCACCAATATTGGGGCCACAGCCTATTCAGCTACTGCCCCTTCTAGCCTAGGCCCATTGTGTTGGGCCTAGCTTTGAGATACTAGCTTAGTTTCCTCCTTTCCTGTCACTGGGCTCTCTGGGCCCTGCCTCTCTGTGCCCATTTGGTACCGGGCTCTCTGGGCCCTGCCTCTCTGCACCTTGCACTATTTGCTGGGCACTATGGCTCAATACTCACTGGAGCCTTGAACCTGCCCCTAGCAGGGCTCAGGCTGTTTGTGCCTCTGGGCATTAATGAAGCCTCCAAACCTCGCCTTTAAGCCTCATCCCAAACCTCCGGTTTAAACTGCAACATAAACACTAAGCCCTCGGGCCATAACAAAGGAAAAATAATAGAGGCAGTGTGCCTGCTTACCTCATGGCTCCTTCTTTCCAAGTCGCTCTGTCCTGTGCCCCAGTCTGCAAAGCTGTTTCCTTTCAGTCTCCTGGGCATTCAGGAGCTCACACTCTGCCTCAGCCTGGGCCTGCTGGCTCCTGCAGGGCTTATAAAGCTCTAGCCTGAGCTGCTCCTGGTCATGTGAAAGCCCCAGTCAGCTGACCAGCCTGCAGGGCTACCCTTTAACCCCTGCTCTGCTGGCAGGCTGTGCCCTGAAGATGCTGTCCTTAAAGGTGCCTTCCTACTTTCTAGTAACAGGGCTAGGGTTCCCTGTTGCATGGATTCTTTTTGTCCTCTGTGGGTGCGTCTATATGTGCAAATAATCCAGGAGCAGTTCACTGTTGAGTAAACTGCTCAAGGGTAAACTGTCTCGAGCACTACACGTGCAGGGATGCGGGAGAGATTTGCTGCTTCTAGCAGCAGACTGCTTTTGCTCCCTGCAGCCCTGCAATGGGCCCCTGCAGCAGCCAGAGGAGGGGCCAGGAGACAGCTGTCTCCTGGCAGAGGCTGGGGCATTGTTCCCTGCCCCTGAAAGCTGCCTGCTGCTGGGGTGGGCTCCACCACTAGAGCCCAGGTGGACACAATGACCCCCTGGCAGCAGGGAGCTCCCAGCCGGGGCTCCATGGTTGCAGGACCCAGGCTGGGAGATCCTTATCTTCCAGTGCCAGCTTCACAGTTGGGGCACTGGCACTGGGAGATAAAGATCTCCCATCCTGGGTTCTGCGACCCCAGGGCTTGGGCTGGGAGATGAGGATCTCCTAGCGCCAGCCCCACGATGGGAGGGGCTGGGAGCTCCCTGTTACCGAGGCAGGGGGGCATTGTCCCCATCCAGGCTCCAGTGGCGGAGCCTGCCCTAGCAGCAGGCAGCTCCCAGGGCAGAAAACAATCTCCCACCCCCTGCTGCCCAGCTGACTGGGAGCATATTTGCTCCTGGTGGAGCATCTACACATGTGCTACTATGCAGTTATACTTGCGAGTAAATTTCCTACTTGCATTTGCAGGTAGCAAATTTACCTGTGATTAGAGCCAATTACTGCATAGTAAGTGTCTGCACATGTAGGTGCAGATACTTACTGCGCAGTAAGGTATCTTGTGTAGATGCACCCTATTTATATTAATTTCTGTCAAATGAATAAAGAATACTTGCTTTTCTGTTGACCTCATGTAAGTTCCTGACTAAAGTAATAGAAAGGTATGCTTGTGTATCATATGTCTATTAAGATTCATCCTTGAGATTTCAGTATGTTGGTTGCAGCCTTTCAATTCTGTATCTTAGGGAAAAATACAAAATGCATTCTAAACTTAAAATACTTTTAAAATAAACAGAAATGTCCCCTCTTTATGCCAGGAATTAGTTACAAAACTAAGACTGTATTCCATACTAAGATAAAGAAGCACTTGTATTTGTAATACTACATTTATTTTACAGCTATTGGAGCAGTTCCATCTCCTTTTGACTGTTACCTCTGCAATCGGGGCTTGAAGACTCTGCATATCCGAATGAAGCAGCATTTCCAAAATGCACTAGCTGTTGCTCAGTACCTTGAATCGGATTCCCGGGTAGAAAAAGTCATTTTCCCTGGTATGTTGCCCTGAGCAAATAATCTTCAGAATAAATAATCTTTTGTATTTAGCGTTGTTTGAGTATTGGCGTAGAACTGCTGTATTCCTTAAATGTGGCTGATACATTCAATGAGTTTGATTTAGACATTTTAAAAGTTATTACTCTGCAGATGTTTATCTTACAGTTAGTTCTATATTTCTTCAAGTTGGAAGGTTGCTTTTCTACGTGCCTTTAATGTAGCCTGCTTTTCTTTGAAGTGGTGATGATGGCAAAAACATTGTGTGTGTGATTAATTTCAGGATTACCTTCACATCCTCAGCATGAGTTGGTTAAACGTCAGTGCAGTGGCTGTCCTGGAATGATCACCTTTTACGTTAAGGGAAAACTTGAACAGGCTGTTGCATTCCTCAAGCATTTAAAGGTAAATTACAGAATAGGTGTACATTATTTTAAATGGAGAAGAAACAGATTGTAACTCACTTAAGTTTTCTAGGAGTGTAGTGATAGAAGGAAGTGGTTTTCTTTGAGACAGGGACCATCTTTTTAACTTAGATTCTGGGTATTACCACACCTAAGGAGTAGAAATTATGAGATGGGATACTAATGAGAGGGAGCAAAGGGTGTATTGGCTCTTTGTGAAGTGTCATTCATATAGTTGGTGCTTATATTGGAAGTGCAATTCAAGTGATGCCTCTAAGAAAGTATTTGCAGATCTCTGTTCTGCTGTGGAAATGAGAAATATGAATGGCACGTGAAAACAGAGTAACTGCTGCTTATGCAATACTAATAGCAGGCTTCCAAACATGCGACAAGAGAAAATGCCTTTGAGACAGATGCTTGATCCACACTTCAAAGAAGGATCAATACCTGTTTCAGACAGCTCTCTTAACAGTTGTTCTCTTAACATAGTCATACTTTTTCTTTCTTCTATCTGTACTTTATATTTTTTAATCTGTTCATGACTGTTGGTCTCTGGACACACTTGCATCAGCTTTAGAATCAATTCATTGCTAAATTGACAAATTCCAACTAAGAATTCCTTTTTTTCCTGCCACTTGACTCTCCATATGATTTCAAAATCATCTTCCACAAATAGAGGTTTGCGTTAAATTTGTTGTTCATCCTGTCCCCTGAAGCTTAATCAACTCCAGTTCTGTTATGGAAGTCAGATTCCAGAATCTAGGGTCCTTGCTGTTTTTATACATTTTCTTTCTGCCTCCACTGTCTTTACTGATTGATTATTGAGTTGATGCTTAACTGCATCTCTGTGTCCTCATGTGGACCTGCCACCTGGATTGCCCCATTCCACACACTGCTTGGATGCCACCCACCCCCCTGCCTCCTGGATCAACCCAGGGGTAGCGGGGAAGAGGGGTTCCCTCTCCCTGCCTGCTCCTGGGCTCCCTGCAGCCCCCGTTGCTCCAATCCAGCCCACACATCCCTGCCAGGCTCCGCATCTGCCTGCTCACTTGCAGCCGCCCCCTGGCTTCCCCCCTCAGTA